CTACAGGCAGCTGGACCTACAGGTAGCTGGACCTACAGGCAGCTGGATCTACAGGCAGCTGGACCTACAGGCAGCTGGACCTACAGGCAGCTGGACCTACAGGTAGCTGGACCTACAGGCAGCTGGACCTACAGGCAGCTGGACCTACAGGCAGCTGGATCTACAGGCAGCTGGACCTACAGGCAGCTGGATCTACAGGCAGCTGGACCTACAGGCAGCTGGACCTACAGGCAGCTGGATCTACAGGGTATCTTGCAGCACTGAATGATGTGTGTTTTCTTCTGACAGATTGTGAAGCTAGCCTGGAGAGAAGGGTGGATATTTCCAGGATGGCAGCAGAAGGATTCGGGTATGCTGAGGTAGCTGGTTCCAGGTGAAGATCTCATGAAGGAACTGGAGGAACGAGGAGGATCCGCTGGAGGACACCAATAAGTCAGGACAAGGTTAGAATCACTCGATGGAAATAATCTGTCAAACACCAACAGGCTTCAACGTTCTAGTGCCGAACATCTGAGCTGCAGGAGCTTAAAGTATCATCATCATCATCAACCTTCATCAGCAGAGGTGAGAAGGTTTGGCTCCGCCCTCCCACTCAGGGTTAACAACAGAAACATCTGGAACCTCCACAGGTCAAAGGTCGTTTAGAGTCCATCGTTCTGTAGAGACAAAGATTCTTCACACGTGGAGAACATTTCAGACAGCTGATTCACTCTGAAGGTCAGACCGTGCAGTGACTCTACAGGCCTCAGTCTGCAGGTCAAAGGTCATGGCCTCTTCTCTCTAAGAACAACATGGCAGCTCAACTTGGTTTTGGAATCTTCATCTGAAGGGACTTCAAGACTTCTGGATCAGAACCAGAGCGGAGAACAGATGTTTACCCAGATGTTTGCACTGCAGCAAACTGCTCCTCCAGCCGTCAGCACGGAGGAGGAGGCTGATGGTTCTCCTCCTTCAGTCACTGAGTGGACCAGAACTCCTCTGGAGAGCAAAGGGTTCTGGAGTCCAACAGCTGAAGCCTGGACCAAACTAGGTCCAACAGAACATTGGTCCCCAACACAGCAGCGGATTCACAACAAACGGGTCAGATCAGAACCGAGGTGCTGCAACGGTCTAGCTGAAATCCAGAACCTCAACCTGACTGGGGTCTGAGCAGAAACCTCAATGAACTGAAGCAACCTTGAAGCGTGGGTCAGAACTCGTCCAGAACCACGAGAGAGGCTGATTCAGAACTCCACTGAGAGTTCTGCTGCTGAAGGAGGTTCTGGATCAGGGTCTGGATCCAGGTGGTCCCTCCCAGCTCCAACACTGTGTCTGTTTTATCATCAGGAGCCCGAAGATCTAAACGAGTCATTAAAAACTGCTCTGTGTGGTTTTCAGGAGTCCAGAACCAGGTCTAACGTGATATCTGTCACGTACCCCTGGATTTCAGAGTTCTGATGTGCTTCTCTGCAGACTAGAGGAGGAGACAGAGCAGGAGGAGTAGAGAGGAGGAGATGAAAAGTAGTCCTCCGTTTGCTCGACAGGCTTGGATGGGGCTGTGTGTGGGCGGACGGGCAGCACAGAGAAGGAGAAGGGTTTAACGAGGGGGTCCTTCACCCCAGGGACACCTTTCTGTCTGACCACAGAGGAGGCGGAGGAGGAGGAGGAGGAGGAGTGACAAAGAGGGGAAGTGATGGGTGCACACATGTATCATTAGGAGTCATTAACCACATATTTCACAGAGAGAAGGAGAAAGACAGATGCTGCTGCTGGCACATTGTTTGACTCTGGTGCCCCCCACCTCCTCCTCCTCCTCCTCCTCCTCTGCTTTGCAGCCTGAGGGGAGTTTAATTTAATCCATGTGTGGTGTGATTGAAGTGAGGGCTTCATGGCTGCTGATGCTCCAGATGGATGAAGCAGCTCAGTCTGAGGATATGAAACACTCCGAGTCGCAGCGAGGCGGAGAGAGAAGGAGTTAAAGATCCAGATCTGTCAGAGAGATCTTCCTCCTCCTCCTCCCGACTCCTCGGATGCTCATCTCACCACCTGTTAGTGTGGACCTCATGCACTGAAACCCACTTGTTTATGCAGGAATCTCCTCCGCTCTCAGAGGTAAGACAGGTTTATTCTGCATGTTTGGACTCTTTGATCACGTCTTAGATCATTTAATATTTTTATTTTTCATCTCCTCTTTGATCTCTGATCAGATTCAATATTCACCTGAAAATCCATTTCTGACATTTCCTTCAGCGTTTTACGCAAGTACAGACTTGCTGTTGCATCTTTTTATCTTTAACTCAAACTTTTTCGTCCTAGAAGCTTTAAACTACTGAGGTTTGTGCTTCCTGATGAAATATTTTAATACGTTCCTAAACTAGATTCACACGTTCACAATAAAAATACTAAATTCTGCATGAAAGAAATCTGTCAGCTAGGACATTACTGTTATTACCCTGATATTACATAGTTATTACTATTATTTCCCTATTACACAGTTATTCAGTTATCACTCTGTTATTACGCAATTATTATCCTGTTACCATGATATTATACAGTTAATACATTATCATCCTGTTATTAAACACTTATTAACAAAGTTATTGCTACATATTTATTATTATTATTATTAGAATTATAAAAACATTATAATTATAATATAATTTATTGCCTAATAAAGCAGAGAGTAAAACAACTGTCTCCATTTATGTCTGGTTTCTTATTCTTATTACTCTGTCTGGTTATTATTATTGAGTTATTAGGAAGTCGGTCCCAGCAGTCCTTCCTTCTACTTTATCCTGGAATGATGTCCCTATTGAATTAGTGAATTCTTATAAATATTTGGGTATCTTGGTTGATTCTCATCTTTCTTTTAAGCCTCATGTTGAAAACTTGGTAAAGAAACTAAAAGTTAAACTGGGTTTCTTTTTCAGAAATAGATCCTGTCTAACTCTGAATGGTAAACACCTTGTATCTGTGACCTTCCTTCCCTCCATTGATTACAGTGACATTATTTACATGAACGCTCCTACAAGAACCCTGCAGATGTTGGATGATGTCTATCACGGTGCGTTAAGATTCATAACTGGCTGTGATTATCATACCCATCACTGCACCCTGTATTCACTGGTTAACTGGACATCATTAACTTCACGCAGACTCTCTCACTGGTACATTTTCATCTTTAAATCACTTCTTGGTCTGCTGCCTTCATACATCTCCTACATATCTCTGCGTGAGTGCAGCTACAGCGTGCGCTCTCAGGACATTATTACCTGCAGTGTTCCCTCAGTGAGGACTGAACTAGGCAAAATGAGCTTCTCCTACTCCACTCCACACTATTTGTCAGATTAATTTTTACTGTTTAATAAAAGGATTTTGGATCATTAAAGTGAGGAAAAGATGTACTGAAACAGTTTTTGACTTGTTGATGAGGACCCGAGTGTTCTGGTGGTCCTGCTGCTGATTCTGGACTTGGTTCTGTAAAATAAGAAGACGTGGGTCAGAGACGGGATGGAGGAGGAAGTTGCTGCTGGTCGGTTGAACATTGAAACATCTTCACATAAAGAAACCAGAAATGGAGACGGGGGTTTTACTTTCCATTAATTAGAATATTTTTAAATTTTAGGTGCAAATTCATCGAGCTGAGTTCAAACGAGCATTTCTTTTTACACGGGTTCAAACTGGACCTGAACATGGAGGAACTCTTCAAACAAACTCAGAACAGTTTGTACTCTTCTTCCTCTGAGAGCAGCTTTGGCACTTTCGGCTTAAATCAGCCGAATGTCAGCCAAGAACATCAGCTCGGGTATTGATTAGCGTGCAGTTGTCGGTGGTTTGAAGTATGATGTGACGGGGGACTTCAAATCCCAGAAAGGAGCAGGAAGAACCTGACAGCGGAAGAAAATCCTCTTTTCTGCAGCTCGTGTTTAATTAGCTCCATGGCGGGTTCAGCAACAAAGCCTTTAAATCAACAAGCCAGAGGAAGACCATGGGAATGTTTCTGTTGTTGGACCTTATTTTTGTTCAGTTCTGTTCAACATCAATTGCTTCAGATGTTCTTGAAGAACACATGAATCAAATTTAAATATTAATATTCTTTCTGATGCACTGCTGGGAGTTTTGGAGCTCCAGACGGATGCGAGAGCTCTCTGTTCAGAATCACACCTGTCAATCAATCCTCCTGACACGCAGTGACAGGACACACTGATCAGACTCAAACCCCCCCCCATCAGGAACAAGGAAACATCTGCCAGGAGGGGGAACAACGAGCCTCCCACAGGAGGAGGAGCAGAGAGTTGCTGCTTCGCTGAAAACTGTGACGAGAGCGACACATGGAAGCAGCGACCACAGAAAACCAGCAAAACCACCGCAGCCCAACTGGAAAAACTGGGAATAGCATCCACTTACATTATTAAAACATATCCGTATCAATATCAGTATTGATATCTGTGTCAGTATTGACAATATATTGACTGAGACAAAGTGATTCATGTGGTCAGTGATGAGAAACCACCTCATCGCCTGTTTTTAATGGACATTACTCACGTTTTAAAGTCAAGGTTGTGATTTAATCCTGTTTATTAATCAGGATTATTGATAAAAGCAGAGTAATTGTTGCATTTAAATAATTGTTTTAATGATTTGTTTTCATCCTGGCAACACGGTGTGCAACTGGTAGAGCTGCTGCCTCTCGGCTAGCAGGTCGCCGGTTCAAATCCCAGTTCCAGTTGGGAGATGGTTTGGATTTAAATTGTCAGATGAGCAGCAGAAAAATGTTTTCTGTAGACAATGCTGAAAACAAGTCCCGACCAAAGGTCAGAACTACGAATCGTTTTCACCATTTAAAACAGCACTATAAGTTAAGTTATAAGCTGCAGCTCCGACTGTGTTTTCAGCCTCCTTCCCTGAAACAAACCACGGTATAAAACTCATTTAGCTGTGCTGTGCCTTATGAGAGGAACAGTGAGGTGGTGCGACATTAACAAACCAGCAGCTTATCATATCGCTAAAGACATGGTCCCAGTCTCAACTGTGGAACAAGACGGATAAAGTTAGCCATCTTGTTAGCCGCTAAGGACCGTGTCTTTAGCGATATGATAAGCGGCTGCTTTATTAATGTGTCGCTGCCTCTCACTGTAAGACTTGAAAATTTGTGTAGTTCTCCTTTTTCTGCCTGTCCAACTTCACGCAGCCCCTCCTCTCTCACATGTTGCTTCACACATGCTTACTAACGTGAAGGCGGTGCAGCTGAAGAGATTATTTAATAATGTAAATAGTTCATTTTTTAGACATTTAGTAGTTACAGCTGTTTGTTAATAAATGTGCCTGTGTGACAGTTGGGACAAAGCCTTGACTCAGGTGTGTGGTTACCATGGAAACATTGCATCAGATCCATTCAACATTCCTGCAGGAATATTTTAGTTAAAATCCTAAATGTGTGTCTGTAATCAAATGTCCAGAAACTCAGTCTACAGTAGATCCGTATCAAGGTCATCTGCTCAGACTTTCTTCTAAACTTTAAGGTTCTGATCAACATCAGCTCCTGTCCTCACCTCAGCTTCTGTCCTCACCCTTAGCCCCTGTCCACACCCTCAACTCCTGTCCTCACCCTCAGCCCCTGT